TCGTATAGGGTGTTATAGGTCAGGGTCAGGCGGATGCCCAGGTATTTAAGGGAGGGGGCCCAGGTGATCGGGAAGGAGAGCTTGAGTGCGGCTAGTGTTGCAGACGTCAAGGAGACATCAAGAGCTTGGGATTTGGATTGGTTGACCCGTAAGTCTGAGATGAGTGCGAAGTCTGAGAGTGCTTTAAGGAGGTTCGGGAGGGAAAGGAGGGGGTTAGTCAAAGACAGGAGGACATCATCAGCGAAGAGGGATATTTTGTGGTGAGGCCCTGAATATCGGGGTTGGATCTGATGTATTCCGCCAAGGGTTCGAGGGCAAGGGCAAAAAGGATGGGTGACAGGGGGCAACCTTGGCGAGTGCCGCGCACTATCGGGAAAAGAGACGATTCAAAGCCACAGTACTTAAGCTTGGCCTGGGGCGAGGCATACAGGGCTGGGACCCAGGATATAAAGTGGGAGCCAAAGCCCCAGTGGCGGAGAACCTCAAAGAGATACGGCCAAGGGAGCATGTCGAAGGCCTTGGAAATGTCCAAGGACAGCAACATCATTTCTCTGGAGCGTAATTTGGCTAAATGCATCAGGTGTAGGGCCCTCCGGACCCCGTCCCCGGCCTGTCTGGATGGCATGAAGCCGACCTGATCTTTTTTGATTAGGGACCCTAAAAATTGGTTACAGCGGGAGGTGAGAATGTTAGAAAGCTCTTAACGTCTACATTTATTAAGGAAATAGGGCGATAATTGGTCCAGGAGTGGGGATCTCTATCTGGCTTAGGTATCATTACAACGTTCGCTGTGAGCATGTGTGGGGACATGGAGTCGCCCTTCGGGAGACCATTAAAGAGGGAGGCCAAGTGGGGGGATAAATCTTCAGATAGTTTTTTATAGAAAAGGACGGGGAATCCATCCGGGCCCGGACATTTACCCGTTTTGAAGGCCTTAATGGCTTGTTGGACTTCGATGGCAGAGATTTCCGACTCCATGAGGTACCTACCGGCTTGTGGGATATCTGGAAGGGTAATTCGGGAGAGAAATTTGCGGATAGTATCGAGTGAGGAGGCGGAAGGGGTCGAGTAAATCTTGGAGAGATGGTGGTGGAATTCAGATAGGATTTTTGTGGGGTCACTAGTGCAGGTGGCCAGCCTGGTGCGGAGGGAGATTGGGGTTGGGACACTATCAAACGTCCGCAGGCGTTTGGCTAGCATAGAGTCGGGTTTGTTGCCCTTCGCGTAGAATTTCTGTTTCGTCCAACGCAGGGAACGTTCGGCCCTATCCGTGAGGCAGAGGTCAAGCGCAGCCCGTGTCGACGCCAGTAATGTGCGGTTAGTGGTCGTGGGGTTGGACTTAAAGGCCCGAGACCTCTGGTCCAGTTCCGTCTCGAGACTCTGAATGCGCTGGTTGCGAACCCTCTTTCGTTTAGATGCTATTTGAATCAGGTGGCCACGTATGACCGACTTATAGGCTTCCCAGACTAGCGATTCAGAGGGGACCGACCCCGCGTTGAGCTGAAAGTAGTCAATGGTACGCATGCGGATTTCCGTGAGTATAGGATAGCGAGAACAGCGATTCATTTAAGGACCAGGGGGGCATGCTTAGGACGGAGGAGCACACTACGAGCACTGCATCATGATCCGACCAGGGTATAAGGAGAATGTGAGAGGAGGAGGCTAGAGAGAGGGAGCGCCGTTGGAGAAAGGCATGATCGATACGAGAGTGGGAGCGATGGGGGTTAGAATAGAAGGTGTAGTCTCTTCCCATGGGGTGGCGATCTCGCCACACGTCCACTAGGTTATGCTGGAGGAGCAATTGTTGAAAGCATTGGCTGTGGGGGAATTGTGCAGTGGGACCTGGGGGGTATTTATCTAGTTGGGCACGGAGAATCAGGTTGGAGTCCCCACATAGGAAAAGAGTACCTTTTGCATGCTCAATGAGCAGAGGTGAGTGAGAAAAGGAATTGGGTTTGTATTAGGCGCATAATAGGTGAGAACCGTGATGTCAGTATCATTAAGTCTGCCCGTCAAGAGAAGGTACCGTCCCTCTGGGTCTGCTATCTGCTTAGTGCAAACAAAGTTCGCTGTTTTACGGAAAGCTATGAGGACACCGTGTGTTTTCGTGGAGGCATTGGCTTGATATACGGATGGGAAGAAAGCATCAATATATTTGGGGGCACTTGAGGTCGAGAAATGCGTTTCTTGAAAGCAGGCCATGTCAATATGGTGGCTGCGGAGGTAGCGAAAGGCTTTCGTTCGTTTCTGGGGGGAGTTAACGCCCTGCACATTCAGGGAGAGCCAGCGGAGCGGCATCGTGCCGCTCGGGGCTGGTGACCAAAGCAGGGACTTGTGTCTTTTTTCAACCTGACTAACTATGTAACTATGGAATAGTTCCTGTATTTCCAAATTATTAATGTCTGTGCATACTTGGCTTGTACTTGATAGTCCATATCCCCTATGTCTTGTTTCATGCTTTTTTTTTTTTCTATTTTTGTATGTCTATTCCTAAATAAATAGATTGACCCTAAACAGCATTTGAAATTGTTTAAAAACATTTTGACTTTAATATCATTTTAAGTGCTTTCCCTCCTTTTTAATGTTTTTGCTAACTTGTCTTTTTTTTTTTTTTAGAAACTCCCTTGGCTAAACCGAAGCAAAGAAGTTGTGGAAGAATTTCTGTCTTTTTTGGGCAATCTTGTGTCAGCTCAGACTGTATATCTAAGATCTTGCATGAATATGATTGTCTCGCATTTTCTACCATGTAAGGCTAATTTTTTTTATGCAAGTTTTTATGTTTGTCAATGTCTAACTATCTAATGCAGCTATAGGCAGAATGTTCATAAACATATACCATATAATGATAAACTTGTATTGGCTAAATGAACCTTGCTGGCTTCTAGTTTTGCCTGTAGTAACTTTTCCAAAAATGTACCTCCATAAAGTTTGGAGTTTCCTTTATTGGATAACTTAAGTTATAAAAGATACAAACTTTTGGGAAGCCTTAGATTCCTTCTTTAAGCTATATAATTTACTTGTAAAACTGAGGAAAACATGACACTAGCTATATCACAAAGTAACACATTTTTAGACATTTTGTTAAATATGTTAAGTTGATAACTTGCTTTACCTGAGCAAAACAAAAGAATGGGGTTACAAGGGGATATTACTTGGTGGTAATTTGTATTTAGAATGTTGAAGAATGTTTGTATGAATTAGTGCTGCAGCTAACGATTATTTTCATAATCGATTAGTTAGCCAATTAACTTTGATCGGATAAAATAAAAAAAATGAATGTCATTTATTTAAAATAAAATACACAAGTACAGCACTACAAACTGTACTGCACTGGAACGCAGGGCATTACAGTACTGCACGTTCCAGTGTGGGCAATCGCATTGTGAACGGGAGGTGCATTTGGGATACATTAAAATTAATGGCACCACAACGCTCCTCCTG